TAAAGTCAGTTCACCGTGTTACAGAGGGATGTACAAATGAAAGCTATATACCAGTAGGAAAAATTTAGGGTATGACAAATGCCCCTATCTAAATGGCTTACCTAGTAAAATTAACTGCCATGGTGTTCATTCTTCGAGGTGTAAGACAATTAGATATGAAGAAACCCCTGAATTTGTCCAAAAAGTAAGGAAATGTTTGGGAGATGGGATAATGGATCTACCCTCGAGTAGACAGTTAATAACTAGTAAAAGGCCGGGATCACCAAAAGGATGACGGTACAAAGCACACACGGCCCTAACAACAAAAGGATGCAGGTGAACACTCGCACAATCTGACACCAAAAGAATGACAAACCCACCACCAAAAAGACGACGAAGCGAACTCACACCGGCTACTACCACCAAAAGGATGATAGAGCAAACACTCGCATAATCTGGCATCAACGAGATGACAAACCCATCACCAAAAGGATGACGGAGCAAACTTACACCGGTTACTACCAACAAAAGGATGATAGAGCAAAACACTCGCACACTTTGGCACAAACGAGATGACAGATCCACCACCAAAAAGATGACGGAGCAAACTCACACAGGCTACTACCACCAAAAATATGATAGAGCAAACACTCGCATAATCTGGCATCAACGAGATGACAAACCCATCACCAAAAGGATGAAAGAGAAAACTCATACCAGCTACTACCACCAAAAGGATGATATAGCAAAACACTCGCACAATCTGGCACCAACAAGATGACAGAGCCGCCACCATAAGGATGACGGAGTGAACTCACACCGGCTACTACCACCAAAAAGACGATAGAGCAAACACTCGCACAATCTGGCATCAATGAGATGACAGACCCGCCACCAAAAGGATGACGGAGTAAACTCACACCGGCTACTACCACCAAAAGGATGATAGAGCAAAACCCTCGTACAATCTGGCACCAACAAGATGACAGACCCGCCACCAAAAGGATGATGGAGCGAACTCACACCAGCTACTACCACCAAAAGGATGATAGAGAAGACACTCTCACAATCTGGCATCAACGAGATGAAAGACCCGCCACCAAAAGGATGACGGAACAAACTCACACCGGCTACTACCACCAAAAGAATGATAAAGCAAAACACTCGCATAATCTGGCATCAACGAGATGATAGACCCACCACCAAAAGGATGACGAAGCAAACTCACATTGGCTACTACCACCAAAAGGATGATAGAGCAAAACACTCGCATAATATGGCATCAACGAGATGACAGACCCACCACCAAATGGATGATGGAGCGAACTCACACCAGCTACTACCACCAAAAGGATGATAGAGCAAAACACTCGCACAATATGGCATCAACGAGATGACAGACCCGCCACCAAAAGTATGACGGAGCAAACTCACACCAGCTACTACCACCAAAAGGATGATAGAGCAAAACACTCGCACAATCTGGCATCAGCGAGATGGCAGAACCACCACCAAAAGGATGACGGAGCGAACTCACACCGGATGCTATCACCAAAAGGATGATAGAACGACAAAAATTTGAAAGGCCACCAACATCAAAAGGATGCAGGCTAGGTTGAACCGACGAGGTTTGGCTATCATCAAAAGGATGATAACGAGGCAATTGACAAAGGTCATGCTTGTTGAATACCATTCACCAGGGAATACACAAGAGGAAGATTGAATTGAAACGAATCAGCGGGGTACGCCCACTGTCTTGATTGGAGGTCACGGTTTTGACCATAAAAAGTTGAAATAACTTCATGAGGAACGCCCGTGAACTTTGAAGAGGATGCCCCTGTCTGGGCTGAGTTTGTCTTGAAATTTTGTCTTGGTCAACAAAAGGTTGAACAACTTCGTGGGGAACGCCCACGGACTTGGAGAAGATGCCCCTGAATGGGCTGAATGTTACCTTGAAATCCTTGGATTTTCCCAGCAAAAGGTTGAACAACTTCGTGGGGAACGCCAACCGTCTTGAATAAAATGCCTCTGGTTGGACAAAAAATGTCGACTTGGAAATCAACCACGAGGTTGAAATAATGTCAAAGGAAATACATGCCTCTGATTGGGTTGAATCTTGCTTTGAATATCTTTGAATTTCGTGGGGATACCCACGGTCTTGCAGAAAATGCCATTGACTGGGCTGATGATTACTCTGAAGCTCTTGAATTTGCCCAACAAAAGGTTGAGCAACTTCATGGGGGAAGTCCACAGTCTTGTGGAAGTTGCCCCTGATTGGGCTGCACATGGTCTTGGAAATCTTTGAGATTGATCCTGGACCTTGAATTACATATACGGATGCTTGATGACTCATAACAAATGCAAATGCTAACGCGCGGAGATGCACGAGTTGGGGAAGCATGATATGACTTGGTATGCATATGATGTAAAATGCTTATGATAACGAATGTGATGCGTATGATGTATATGATTGCAGATAGGTAATGGGAAATGCAGGTGGAGGACGCCATCTTGGTGGAATTTTGATAGTTACCAATATGGATTGGACTTTGGGTGGTGAGAAGGATTGACTTCCTCGACACACAGTTTGTTGAAGACGCCATGATTGGAGCAGACAATGATACTCTGGATGCCCCAAGCCTGGATACTTGGTGGTTTGTTGTGAATTTGCTTCAGAGAAAATTGAAACTCTGTTTGATAGTCAGGATGACCTGGTCTCACCCCAGTCTGAACATGGTAATGGTCTTCCCCTGATTAACTAATTCTGAAGTTGAACTTTGATGCTTTAGAGGTGACTTGCACCTGGTCGAGCTATTGATGGATTTGCCCCAACTTGCGGGTTTTGAGGTGGCCTTGCTTCGTGTTAGCCACTGAAAATCAAGTTTCTCCTTGATTGCCCCTTATTGAAGTATATTTGATGTCTAGCACTGCTTTGCAGCTAAAATTAGCACATTCATAAATGGTAATTCTAATGCAAAGTTCATACAAATTTGAAAAAATTTCGTTTTATTAAAGTTTCGTGATAGTTTGAGACGAATGGACCATTAGCCCAGACATTGTGCCAATTCGATTGGAGTGTGAAAGATATAGCAAGGATAATGACACCAATGTTGATGATTAGCAAACATGTGAAGAGTCAGTTTACGTAATCTTGCGGTAGTATGCTTTCAGAATAAACCTCGTCTCAATTAGGTCTTTCGAGAGTTGTAACATGGTCTGGTTCACGGTTTATGAAACAAAGGATATTAGGCTCAAAGTATGATTTTTACCCACCCCTTCTTCTTAATGATCTTCAGTCCTACGTTCAGTTAAGTCTGCACCTGTCTTGACGGTATACACTTGATGGTTCAAGGTATGCTTAAAATGGCAGCCACCTTATTTTGTCAGCGATCCTTTTTGTTTTTGACATGGTAGTCATTGAATCTTATTTTGTTTTTGCTGAGGGTTTGAGGACCTCTTTTGCTTTTGTTTTTGATCCCTAACTTTTGCATGGATTGATTTCGTTTGTCAGATCCATCGGAATTGCCTTGATTTTTGCCTAAGTCCCCTTTTAGGTGCTTGACTTAGCGGCTTATGATTTTTTGGATTTTGTTGGAGGATTGTGACTGCCATGTCATAGGTCATTGATGAACAACCGTCAGTTGGATTTTGCATTGTTGATTCGAATGTGGAACTGGATTAATTGAACACTACCCTGCCCTAGGTTGAGTGTAAAGTTTTAAATATCCTAAGGAAGCTGCTACTTCTAGGCTCGAAGTGGTTGACTAGGGATTAATTTCCTTATATCTATAATGTTTGGGGATTGAAACAATGCTTGTACATCATTGACGAGATTCTATTTAAAAGCATATGGTTTGTAATTATGAGTATTTCGTTTTCGTCATCCTCCCTCAAATTATGCTAAACAATAGTTGATAGAGTGAAGTGAACAAATATGTCAGTGCTTGTGATAAATGGAAATAATGGGTGAATACGACATAACTAATTCAAAACATGCATAAACAATACATTAATGAAAACCAAATACGAACAACAATTGTTCAAAGCATACAATACTTAAACGAACAAAGACAAAATACAAGAATGTAAAAGATGAAATGGCAACATGAATGCCTTCTTTGGGGGTGAACTTGACTTGACTTGATTTGATCTGATGCTGGCGCTAGCTGGCTGGTGGCATTGAATCGTTGATGACATTTGGAGACTTCCCATTGAAGTTTATAGCATCCCTGTCGATCATGTCTTGAACTTTGTGCTTGAAAGCCCTGCAGTTCTCAATGGTGTGACCTGGAGCGCCTTTATGAAACTCACAATGAGCATTTGCATCATAGTCGGCAGGAATGATAGTTGGGAGAGCCAAATCCCTCGGAATGTGTCATACCCTAAATTTGTCCTACCCGTTTTTTATTTATTTTCACCTTTTTTCGATTTCATTTTCTGTTTTACATTGCCTGTTTATTTTTCTTGTTATTTAGACACGTGTCTGCTCGCAATTGGTTAATTTTTTTTTTAGCTTTATCATTTTATCCAATAAAGACGTGACACATGGCCTAACAACATTTTTGTAAATATTATTTTCTTAAAACTTCTTCTTTTTTAAATATTACTAATAGTATATATTTTTTTAGTAATTATTTCTTTCGGTTTTTAAATTTTAGTTTATTTTTATATTCTTTTTTAATATTTATTAATTAGTATTTGTCAATATTTATTTATTAGTTATATTTAATTAATAATGTAGTATTAGTTTATATGCCTTATTTTTTAATTAATTGCTGAAAAATTTAAGTAAAAAAAAAAAAGAGAGAAAAGCTGGATTTGGATCGGGCCCATCACAAAGACCCATTAAGAGAAGGCTGAGATCGTTATAAGAGGAGAGGGTATTTTCATAAAGAAGGGCCTTAATCTACTGTTCACTGCCTCTCACAAAATTCCTCTTCCACAACACCGCCGCTTCAAACCCTAAACCCACGATTCCATCTTTGATACAGTGTTAGGGTTTTCCATTTTCCGCCATCACCATGATGACCGCTATTCTCCGAAGAGCTTCTTCAACACTCTCAAAGCGTGCCATCCCCGCTGCCGAAGCACTTCTCTCCTCCACCGCTTTCGCCGAGCTCAGACAACTCACCGTCTTCCCAGCCAGGTCCTTCCACTCCAAATCACAACCCTTGCTATTTCGTGCCTCTTCGGCTTCTCACGCTAGTTACGCCGCCGAAGCTCTTCCATTTGAGGAACAGTCTAAAGTGACCGGCGATGATGGTCTTGAGATCGCGAAGCTTGGGATTTCTTAGGATATTGTTTCTGCTTTGGAAAAGAAAGGAATCACGAAGCTTTTCCCCATTCAGAGGGCTGTGCTGGAGCCTGCTATGCAAGGTCGTGATATGATTGGTCGTGCTAGAACAGGAACTGGAAAAACTCTTGCTTTTGGGATGCCTATCATTGATAAGATCATTCAGTTTAATGCTAAACATGGGCGAGGAAGGGATCCTCTGGCTTTGGTTTTGGCTCCAACTAGAGAACTCAACAATATTGACAGCAACAATCCCAACACTCGCTGTCAACAACAACAAAAGCAATACTCTCACTGCATCGTATTTTCTGGCGCCACCAACACCACTCAGCTTCCCTTCTCGGCAACAACAGAACCAGATTGCAGTCCTACCTATTCAACATGGCGATAACATTCAGATCATTTTCTGTGTATTATTGTCTTGTCTGTTGATTTTATTACGATTTTTTGTGTTTCTGGTTTGTGTTTGGATGTTGTCATAAGTTTGTAGAGTAGTTTGAAAAATTCACTGTTGTTGTGCTCAAATGTGGAACTTTTGCTGAAACTGGACATATTGGGTCCTTTGTATTGACACTACTATGCCTAGATTTGTGTGTATTAATCGGTTTGCTACTGTGTCGAGTTAAAGGATTAAAACGTTTTAGACACATGTCGAGTTGGTTTATAGTGAGTAATTTGTGGTTGTTGCAATTTCGCATTGAAGAAATTCGGTGTGTATTTGACTTTCCTGTCATTGCTACTATAGTTTTATTTTCATGTCAAAGCTGCGGTTTACTACATCATTATATTGTTATACTGTTAGTCGTGTGCATAAAGTTATGTTTTGTTTGCCGTCCGTTCCTGTTTTGTGGTGACCATTCTGTGCAGATTAAGGGCTAAATCTATTAGGAACTACATCAGTTCGTCGCGTGGGCTACAACGAGTCAACAAAATCCGACAACAGTATTGAGAAGTTTGGAACCCATTCAACATCATGGTTGCGGCATCAATGAATATCACACTGGTAACCAGTTGTTCGATCCGTCTCTGCTCAATTTCCATCAACCTCACAACAAGCTCCATTTACTTCAACAACAACGGCTAATTCACATCGTTGATTTCGGTCCGTTTTCGACTTCCGCAAGTTGGTTTTCCTTGATGATTGTGCTGATGATGCACCTTTCAATGATGAACTCCACGCAACGAATACAGTCGCAGCTCCCATTATTCAGCGACATCAACTCAACATGGCAGTAGCGTTTCGGTTCGGAAGTCCAGTTGTAAAAAGTGGATAAACTCGTCTGTTGGTTTCGGTAACGTCATGTTGCATCTTGGAATTCTTGTTGCAAACACGGTATTCACCCGCGAGCAGTGGAGACGCACTTGTCGGTAACAATGTCGAGTCCTTTTCAAATAAATTTAATGGCTGTCATTTTTCTTTTGCTGCGGTTGTCTTTTGTTCATAATATTATAGCATCATTTCGGTTCTGTTTTAATCGATCGTCCCACTCATTTCATATCAAACAATCGAGAATTATATTAGATACTGGTTTTTTTGATTGAGTTTCAGTTACTGCTGTTGTTGTATATTTGTTTTCGGTTCGATTTCGTGACATGAAGATTTCATGTATTTCAATTTATGTTATGACTTTGAAATTTTTTTTTTGATTTAATCTCATGAAAATAAGTGTGACATGGAATTGTTGAAGTTTCAATTTGAGAATGTATACATGGACTGACATAACAGTATGAATATTTTGCAAGATTCAAAAGGACATTCAAGCTGGTACAATTATTCTGCATATTTGTGGTCCTGTTTCAATTTACAACATGATTTTATCATGTTAAGGATGAATTTCAATCGCGGTTGTTAAAAGAATTTAATATACTTTGTTGCTGCTGATTTCATTTGGTTTCAATTTAAATTCAGATTCAATCATCTGGAACCTAGAATCAGCTCCAAAATGGCCGTAAATATGTTGCTTGCGTTTTTTTATGAGAAGAGATCAACATGCTGCTGCTGTCAGTTTGTGTGCTAATATTAAATTGGGGTATTAATTTAACAATGTTATGTCGAACGGTTTCGGTTTAAGCTAACAATGCTTTTGTTTCACATTTCCGTTGCTTCTTTTATATACTGTATGGCTAGAAATGTTATTACAGTTTCATTTGTTTTAATTTTTAGAATTGCATTTTTATTGAAAAATATAGTATCTTTCTATAATAATGTTAAAACATTTCCTGGATAAACTTTAGGTTTGGTTAAGTGTTTCAAAAAGGTAAATTAATTTTTTTTTAATTTTGTTGACATTTCCTTTTACAGTATTAGAGTTTTTTTAATTGTTTGGGTTACAATGTTAATTTAGGCCCATTAGAATATCATTTTGTATTAGGTGAGGGTTAAAAATGTTTAGAAATTATATTCGATCCAGCTAGGGTCCGATTTGCTTGCATCTATATTCCAAGATAACACCCCTCCTTTATGTTTTAATTGATTTAATCGTTTAGATTATGTGTTTATTTTTTTTAGATAGATGTTATTGCTATTTATTCATTACATTTATAATTGAATTTTCTAATCCATGGTTTCAACATTTCTCTGTCTATTATGCTACTAAAATTTCTTACACATTAATTGAATTTTTCGCCGCGCTACGAAAGTGGTGGGGTTCTTGGGGTCTAGCACCCCTTGGGTCCTTGGACAACCGCTCTCGAGGCGTACGCCTTGAGTTGTGGTGGTTCCGTCTTTCGGTTTCCAAAATGTTTTTTCACTCAAATTAAAATTTACAAAAGATATTTTTAAATCAATTTTATTTAATTATATATTTTTATAAGGATTTCCAATTATTCTTTCTTTTAAAAAATATATTTCAAAATTATTACCAAATAATATTTTAAATATTAAACTTAAACAAAACTACTTTATTAACAAAGTTAAAATATTTTTTCTAAGATATTAAACTTTTTTCAAAACAATTAAATATGACTAGCTTTTCTCAAAATCTTTTTATAAACAATTGATTAATTTATTTTTATATATGAAAATTAAAATTAGTTTTCTTAATTAAATTAGATTATTTTTCTCAAATAAATTTCAAAACAATTAAATTCTTGGATCTCGCCTTCCTTGAATTTTTAAGCAACCGCTCTCGAGGTGCACACCTTGAGTTGTGACCCTTCCGATCTTACATTTCTAGAATACCTAGCACGCCTAGTCCGAGTACGCTAAACTATTCAAATTATTTTCTAAATCAAATCACGAAAGAATCGAGTTCTTGGAGTCGCGCATTCCTCGAATTTGAGAGTGACTACTATTGAGGCGTACGCCTTGAATGGTGTGTCATTCGAACTTTCGTTTCTAAAATACCTCCTTTAATTATTTGGACAAATATTCACTGTCCAACAAACATATTTTATAATTAATTGAATGAAAAAGATTTTGTTGGGATCTAGCATTCCAACGATATCCCGACTAATTGGTTGCGAGACTGACGTCTCATTTATCGAGTAGTCGTCATTCTCTCTTAAAATATTCAACCATTTTCTCTCCCCCGTGCGATTGAATCTCTCCAAACGTTAGTTCCTCGCCCTCGTGCGACTTCTAACCCAAACAATTTCCGAAAGAATAGAGTTCTTGGAATCTTGCATTCTTTGAATTCTTGAGTGACGAGCTCTTAAGGCACGCTCTTAGGTTGCTTGTTAATCAATCTTTCGTTTCTCAACACAACTTCAAACACAAATTTTGAAATTGGATGAAAAAGGTATCAATGGGATCTAGCATTCCAATAATATCCCGATTAATTGATTGCGAGGCCGACGTCTCGTTTATCGAGCAGTCGTCATTCTCCCTTAAAATATTCAACCCAACTCTCTTCTCTCGCCCCCGTGCGATTGAAACTTTCTCAAACACTAATTTTGAAGTTAGTCGAATGAAAAAGGTGTCGTTGGAATCTAGCATTCCACTAACATCCCGATTAATTGATTGCAAGGTCGACGTCTGGTTTATCGAATAGTCGTCATTCTCCATCAAACTGCCTAACTAAACTCCTCTTTCTTGCTCCCGTGCAATCGAAACCTTAAACCTATTCAAATATATCTTCTAACCAAAACATCCAAATTCCTCGCCCTCGTGCGATCTCCAACCTAAATACTTTCTCAAAGAACATTGTTTAGCCCATTCTTCTGCGCATATGAACTCGTGCTTCAGCCTCCCCTAGCGATCAGACAAGCCAACGTTTAGCAGTTAGAATGCAACCTAAACACTCGTTCAAACACAAACCTTTTACCGTAGTAGGCCGAACTACGGCTGCTCTGATTTCTCACATCTGTTGAGAATACGTAGGCATAAGATTGTGATGATCCTAGCGAGCACTTTTCCACTTTTCTTTCTTTCCCACCTTTAGGTTCCCATACCTTTTACCAAAGAACATTGTTTATTCCCTTCTTCCGCGCATAACAAACTCGTGCTTCAGCCTCCCCTAGCGAGCAGACAAGCCAACGTTTAGCAGTTAGAATGCGACCTAAACTCTCGTTCATTCCAAACACAAACCTTTTACCGTAGTTAGCCGAACTACGACTGCTCTGATTCTTCATTCCCTCTTGAATGTAAGATACGTAGGCACAAGATTGTGATGATCTTGGCGAGCACAACCCCCTTTTACTCGTAGTCCCATGAACTACGAATGCTCTGATTTTCCACTTCTTATAAGTGAAGATACGTAGGCACAAGGGCCCCAATCCTTGGTGAGCACCCTATCTAAAAACCACCCATTTCCCTCATAGGAGAAACCTTAGAAAACAAACAAGTGTAGTTAATTTTACTCTCGAATCGAATCAAGAGGTTCCCGTTGAGTACAACGGACGTAGAGGGTGCTAATACCTTCCCTTTGCGTAATCCACTCCCGAACCTAGAATATTGGTTGCGATGACCATGTTCTTATCTCTTTAAAGGTTTTATCGATATTTTCCTATTCCATCCTTGGAATGAATAAAGTTCGGTGGCGACTCTGTTTCAAACGTATT